ATTGATACTGTTGTGATCGAAGTGCCAACTCCTACTACTACGATTACTAGTACCTGGACCGGTTCTGATACTGAGACGTATACCATTACTGCATCGGATGGCGGTATTGATACTGTTGTCGTTGAAGTACCAACACCAACAATTACGGTGACTAACACATGGACTGGTTCCGATACTGAGACGTATACCATTACTGCATCGGATGGAGGTACCGATACTGTTGTGATTGAAGTGCCTGCACTTACAGAAACTGTCACTTCAACTTGGACGGGAACCGATACCGAGACCTACACCATCACAGCTTCCAACGGAGGTACCGATACTATTGTGGTTGAATTCCCATCGATTACTTCGCCCAGCTTATTGTCTTCTAGAACTGCAAATTCTGTATTACCTTCTTCCTTCAATCTGCTAAGTGGTTGGAACTCATCATCGACTATTGCACTTTCATCCAAAATTTCACGCACATATTCAGCCACAGGCAGTTCAAAATCTGAATTAGGAACAACTAAAGTAACTAGCCTTGCTACTACCAAGGGCACTGGCTTCGATACTGAAACTTCCGTAACTACCCTGCAAACATTTACTACCACTCTATCACATGGAACTGACAGTGAAAACATACCTACTTCGTCTCTTTCAACTGAAGATTATTCTTTATCCACAACTGTTAGCGAAGTAACGCCTCATTCCACTTTAGTCTCCCCTGATGATTCTGACTGGAATACAAATGCTCAAAAGAGCACCGTGACAGCTGACTTGGTTTCTGATTCAATAATCACAAAACCAACTACAAAATATGGAACTACAAGTAGCAATAATGGTAATTCGCATACTATAACTTCTCCGACAATAGTCCTTTCGACGACCGGAACTGAACTGATCTCAAAATCTGAATCTAATGCCCATGCTTCAAATGCTTCTATTTACCAAGAAGGTTCAGCTAAAAGGAATATGGTTTCCTCCTTTATTTTCTTACTCCCAATACTTTTCATTTAGCTGGTCTAACGAGATCAGTTACTGAATTCAATTTCAATTTCAATTTTCATTAAATTCTACCTGTGTATCCTTCTTCTTTCTTCTTTCTTCGTAGATAGTTTCTTAAACGTTTTACATTAACTACCAAATACACGTCTATTATAAATTCCACTGTCAAATATACTTAAAAAGAAAAGTGTTAGTCTACAGATTTCGATATTCTAATAATAAGCTAAAGCACAAACCTACAAGAGAAGCAGGGTAGCAGTTGATTACCATCACCTCTTAATCCTCTCCACTAACCGAAATTTAATATGTCACGTGCGGCCAAATTCTTGATTGTCTAACCTGTTTGTGCACATGCATACATATGCAGAGTGCTTAGTTTAAATCCATATGACAACCAAACAGTTGCTGCTCGACAGTGTATATGCTCTGATACGATATAGAGAATGTGAAATACTCGCTTATTATCTAATGCTTACTTTTTCTGACTGGTTATTAAGAAGAAAAGCTTATGATAACTGAAAATTTGACAAAATCGCTGGAGATGTACTTTTTGCTAAGCATACTTTCTATTCAAGATTCGATATGAAATACCACATCGTTCAGTAAAGGACAGGACTTTTCCTATGTTAATTTTTTGCATCTGGACCAGGGTGAGGGAATACTGGGGCACAAAAGTCTATAGATTGCTGCATTACACATTGAATATTATCATTAATGTATCCTTCATTTCAGAAGCATTTAATGAAACAGGAATGTCGGCTCAGAGTCAGCGCCTAAAAATATTTCTTTAAACTTTAATACTTCTGATAATAGATTCTTAATAGATATTTTTTCAGCAGTAGTATCAGATGCAGAGAGAGTGAGCTCCATATAACTGACAATTTTGTTCTCAGAGTCAAGGTTTGCTATCCTCCATGAGATTCCCTTAGGGATAAGTATATTGTTAAACCATCAATTTTTTGTCAGTTTGTCTACTTCCCTTCCCATAACATCAACATCAAACGATATCGAAGAGGATACATGACTCAATATATATACCTTATCATGCTGCCGTAACCTAAATCATTAGAATTTTCATCTCTGACTACCAAGACCATATTCGGCTTGTACATTATCGGCCCACGTCCACTCCAATCTATGTGAGCTCTAGCAAATCCAAGCTATACTTACCTACCAAATGGAATATACGATTTTGTATTAACCCCAGTTTTGACAATAGTTCATTAATACTAATTAAAGGACTACCTCACCAACATCTTTATTGGGGGGGAAGAGATGGATTTAGCCTATAGTCAAAGTCACAAACTCCACTTTCTACATCACAACGTAATACTTCAAAATGAACCCATCTATATACAAAGTATATATATATCTATCGAAAGTATCCTCATTGTTTATGATCTGCTCCGAATAGCTGGTGAATGGTGTCCAATTTTTTTGTTTCTCCTTTCGGAGCAGATCTTTAATTCATTGTTCTACTTTTGCATACTTCGAGTTATCATACTTGTCATTCCAGGCTCCACCGGTATTATACTTTCTTAATTGTGTCTTAAATGGGAACAAAATCCAGACTGATTTATAAAAGTAAGGTTCAGTCTGGCTCAAATCATCTCCGTTATTTCCCGAATTAAACTTCCTGTGAAAAGTTGATAATTATGATAGGCTCATATATTCTGAATTCGCTCTTTTACAAAGTGATTCTTAGATCTTCAGGTCCGTAATACCTTTCAACTAGGCTACTTAGATCGTGATATAAAGGAACCTTTACGAATGATGGAAATTTTAGAGATCCGGATTCTAACAGCTTTGAGTCATCCGAAGTGACCAAATGTGTATCTTTCAATTCATTCCAATCTGAATCAAAAACTTGAGCATATGTCAATGATAAAATAGGAGCATTTCTTTGGCTAATTGAACTACACATCAACCCTCTGATCATTAAATGTACTCCATAATCTTCAAGCCAATCAGAAGATCCAGCTAAATGGTTCCAAACTCGGTTAATTTCCTTTCCCTCTCCATTATCAAATAATTTCTGCATTCGGTCTAAGAAATTTGGAGCAATTTCTTGATAATACAGGTTATTTGGGAAATCTTAACAAACTCACTCACAACTTGAATTAGATCGAAGTCAAAATTTTTGAAGTTATCAACAAAAACCTCATCAGTGATATGGTTTAATATTGAACATCTGGAATTATCTCCATCTATATTTTCATCGAAATTGTAAACAGAAAAGTCATGTCGATGATAGTCACTCTCTTTTGGAACTTTAGGAATGTTGTTAGAGTTACCACTACTGTTATATATGTAACAACTTGCCCTTAAAAGTTTGTGCTTACAGAGATCAAACTTTTTGTCGCTGAATGAATTAGGTATGATATATGTTTTTCATGCCTCGTGCGATGGAATTGGTGTATTGTTTGCTTGTAGTAAGCCTACCTCTGAAAGATAAAGATATACTTCAGAACTTACAATCATTAAAAAGATCCGATTCCTACGATTAGATTATGAACTTTTTGAGTAACATTGGCATAGTTATAAAGAATTGCTAAATCTGAAGAGAAAATGATCTTCAAAAGTATGAGGCGATAAAGAAGACAACCATACCATATCTCCTTAAAAAAGGCAACATTCGATCGCAGTTATTGTTAAATTTGAGCGTTAATATATTCCAGGGAAGATCCAGATGCTATAGTATTGAGTAGAGTATTCAGGTGAGTTTTTTCTTGACTTTCTAGCATTTTGAGTTCAAAAAAATAAATTTAAACCTCTTCTGAGATTGTGAATGGATACACAACATACGATAAGAATACTCTGACTAAAATATGAGGGAATTGGCACTTGGTTGAGTTAAGCTAAATTCATCTTAAGGGATTGTGAGTATTGGTTGGTGGGTCACTTCAAAGCAAAGGATTTAGCAATTGGCTTGCCAGTGGAGTGTCAAGGTGCATATATCTCACTTGCTGCAACCTTGACTATCTAAAAAAACCGGACATTGAAAGTCAAAAATTCTGAAATGACCGGACATTAAAGGACGAAATTTTGAAATTAGAGAAATACCCCAATCTTGAAAAACTACACCGAAAGTTTAATGAACTTTGAATGTTTCAGAGACGCAATGTTCAAGTTCTCTCCTATTAAATTTAAAATTCAAGTTACATCAATACGGTCGCACATTAAAGTTACGCAACTAACATAAATGTTTTCTCGCAGTAAACTCGAATAAATATGTACGTTTGGATTTCTTGCTTCTAAGTGATAACTCCGAAGTACGTAATAGTATTGTACTCGCCTATGACCAGTTGAAGCAGACAAGAGGGTGTGCATTAAACCTCTCATTTATCTTTAAGCTACTTGTCTTTGTGTGTGAAATTTGATTCGAAGGCTAACCAGTAACGAAAATGCACTCTCGAGGATTTCTGCATAATTCTAAGAATATATGCAGTTCAAATGCTCTTTTAAATTTGCTCACATGCTTTAAGCGCTATACATGAAAAGGTTTTCTAGCTCTAATTATCTTGGCAAGCGGATACTAGCGATGAGATGGTGTTAATATACTATGACATTTCTTCAGATTTAAAATTATCCAGGAAAAGATTTGACAATGGACTTCAGTTAACTTAATACCAGAACGGACAATCAATACTTGCCACTCAAAAAAGTTATAAACTACTCTGCCCAGTCGTAGATTTGAAATAAAAAATGGAACCGCAATATAAAAAATAAAGAAAATCGAGGAATGCTCCTGGGAAGCTTCTCTCGAGTTCAAGCGACGGACATCACATCTTAGAGCTGCTGCAGATGAACAATCTTGCGTATCTTAAATCGTCGTTTCTGACTTCTCATTACGTAAAGAAAAATGAAAATGTTGCGTAATACATAAGCGAGGTGTTTTAAATGGAAGGTTGAAATTCAACAGTATAATTTTTCAATTATCACTGGAGCGGCTCAAGTAAGAGCTAGATAAATTTTAGTCTGCTATTTTCTGGCTTAGTTTTCTAAGTTTTCTCTTGAAGCATCTGGAGTAGGGGGCTCGTTCACATCTCTATTTCCTCCTTAGTAGAGGATTACTGTAATCAGATAGACGTCCGATCCTCTGTTACGCTAAAATAGATAAAGGAACAATGCACATTTACATAGTTTTATCATTTCCAGAATAGCATAGATTATTTTTTTGTCGTACTTTCGTAAGTTATCGTGCAGCCAAAACAAAAGAAAAACGACTTTTGTTAACATATGATAATCTACATTGACTTAAAGTGAGATCCGATGAATTTTATGGGTACGTGATTAGTATTTGGTGTTAGTTCTCAAAGTATTGAATCTACTTTGAGAACACATACTTTTTTCTGCAATGACAACATCAAAATTTATCAAAAGTCGTATTTTCCTTTTAGTGAACACTAAGCACGTAGAATGAAAGGTGAAATAGTCTATATTGTAAGATACGTAATACGTTGACGCATTTGAAAAACTGGTGAAAAACGATTTTGCATGAAGGACATAGTTACATCATACATACGGCATAGGTGCGGCTTATTTTGTTATCTCACCAGTAATGCTACATCACTGAATCATCGCTTTGCAATGATCAATAGCTCTTTTTCTAAGTTGGAGTCCTGAGAACTCTTGTAGTCCTAAGTGCATATGATACCACTTCATAATGAAACTTCGGACTTCATTTTATGTTTTAAATGAGGAAACTTCTACATCAGTAAGCGAGATGCGAAGGCGAGGTTTTAGATCGCATAAATCTTTTCCTTACCTTAGAAATTAGCCGCACTACATGAATTTAGATTAAAGTCATGAACGTCGTGTTAAATTTTTGGTCTACCATAAAACCGATGCCCAGAGAAGAGATCAAATTAAAAACGGTCAGTCTATAAATATCTGCTATTATTACCTCTTCTGTAGTGGTTTTCAAATTGTAGAACCACCCAGAAGACATGAACTTTTTTATTTATTTGGCTATTATAGCAGGAGCTTCGTTATCATTTGCTCTAGATGCAAATGGTTGCATTCCACCAGATTTTCAACTTGAAAATCTGGGGTTTGATGCGAAATTTTACACATACAAGTTCCAAGATGACGTGAGCATGTCTGATTTGGGATGGATGACAGATGGTTATTTGAAATCTACGACTTTTGTTAACAGTGTTCAAGGTGTGACTGATATAAACTTTGACTTTCCACAAGGAAGTTATGATAGTACTGTGATTGAAAAGTTGTACGGGGTAGACGTTAACGTTGCTGCTTTCACGCTCTCACTCACTGGTTATTTTTATGCTGAGTATACTGGAAATTATGTTATGAGTGTAAATGTTGATGACTCAGCATTGGTTAGATTTGGTGATGGACAATCGTTTGGATGCTGTAATTCTAAACCTTCCGATGGAAATGAACACGCAATGTTTGCTCAATGGTACTCAGGACAAGGAATTGCCGGAGAAACTGAGCAGACGTATTTTTTAAAAAGTGGTACCTTCTACCCAATTCTGATATTGATGGTAAACAAACAGCTTCCTGCATCCTTCACTTTTAAAATAATCACACCAAATGGTGATTCTATCACCAATTACAGTGATAGCATATATACGATTCCAGATGGAGCACCTTGTCCAGCTCCAAAATTTTTAACTACTACACTTCCTTGGTTTGGAACTACAACTCTTACAAGCACGGTACCTGAAACTGAAAGTGGTGCAACTACAACAATAGAAGTTCTCACTCCAGTGAGCAGAGTGACAGAAACCACCTATTGGACGGGAAGTATAACCAGTACTACTTATATTTTTCCACCAAGTCCAGTAGATGGAGAAGTTACTGTCTTGGTTGAAGAACCGACTCCACTGACAACAATTACTTCCACTTGGACCGGAACTGAAGTTACCACCGTCACTATTCCTGCACCATCTGGAGGAACCGAGACAATTATTGTCGAGGTACCAACTCCGTTGACAACAATTACGTCGACATGGACCGG